TGATGTGTGTCAATCCACAAGAACGGAGCTATACATATTATTCAAACGCTCACAACTCTTACTCCAGAATTGACTATCTCCTCATTTCATCAAATCACACCATGAATGTCATTGACACAACAATCCATAGCATACTTATCTCAGACCACGCACCCATATCAATGACCTTCAGTCCTGTATTTGACACCCAGCACAGGACAAAGCAATGGAGATTTAATAACTCTTTATTGCGGGATGCAAAATTTGTCTCCCTCATAACACAAAGAACCAATGATTTCTTTTGAATAAATATGAACTCATTTGCATCTATCCAAATTGTCTGGGAAGCCTTCAAAGCAACGTGTAGAGGCTGGATAATCGCCTACTCGACTGCCAATCGTAGGCTAAGAGATGAAAAGAAAAACAACTTATTGGCAAAAATTAAAACTTTAGAGTCTCAACACATAGTTGACACAACAAATCTTGTCCTTAAGAAGGACCTCCTCTTGGCCAGGGCAGTCAATACTCCATGAGGAGACCGCTTTTGCTCTATACTGCCTGCGTAGGAGACATTTTGAAAGTGGCGACAAAGCAGGTAAAATGCTCACCTATCAGCTCAAGCTGCAGGAGAACAAACAATCAATTCCAGCAATAAGGGATAGTAGTGGGAACATCATTACAGACCCAACTTTAATAAGCTCTGCATTTAAAGAGTATTACTCCAAATTATATCAGGCTGAATGTCAATCTCAGGAGCACAAGGTGGCAGAATTCCTTATGAACACGCCCCTCCCTAAATTGTGTGCACCGGACAGAGATGATCTGGAGGCACCAGTGTGGGAAGCAGAGATCCTAACGGCAATCAAAAAGCTTGCCAATGGCAAATCCCCTGGGGGAGATGGATACTCAGTTCCAGAGCATCTTGTCTCCTGTCCTAACTCAATTATATAATAACATTATTGAAAATACGTCAATGCCAGCGACAATGCGCACAGCCACAATTGCACTTCTTCCTAGAGCTGGAAAAGATCATCTAGACATGGGAAACTTTCGCCCCTTAAGTCTGTTAAATAATGACTACAAACTATTCGCCGAAGTTCTGGCTCTCCGTATAGAGAAAGTCATTACCTCCGTGGTTCATATAGACCAGGTAGGATTTATACCAGGCAGACTTTCAGCCAACAACATGAGAAGATTGCTTCAAGTCATGTTAAAAGCTAGCTCTCTCCAATCTCCAGCGGTAGCAATATCGTTGGATGCGGAAAAAGCTTTCGATAGACTAGAATGGCCCTACTTGTTCCCGATACTCTCTAGATATGGTTTCGGACCATCGGCTATGCGGTGGATTAAGGCCCTGTACAATAACCTGGTTGCTGCAGTCAAGGTTAATGGTATGATCTCTAAGACATTTCATCTTCACCGTGGCACTAGACAGGGCTGCCCCCTAAGCCATTTAATATTTGTCCTGGCTCTGGAACCACTAGCATGTGCCATTTGTTAGCATGCCAACATAACCGGTATAAAGATAGGTGGCCATGATTTTAAGTTAAATATGTATGCAGATGACATCTTACTGACCATATCAAACCCAGTTCATTCAGTACCAGAAGTTCTGGAATTAATTAAATCGTTTGGCTTGTTTTCAGGATATCAAATCAACTGGACCAACAGTGAAGCAATTTGAACTCTAAAACCCTCTCAGCGGACCTAAAAACCACCCCCTTTATGTGGAGACCAGAAGGAATGAGGTACCTAGGAATAACCATCAGATCCCCAGTCTCTAAAATTTTTGATCTTAATGGTCCTCCCCTTCTAAAAACGATCCGTGAAGACATCAAAAGATGGACAATTCTCCCACTGTCACTATGGGGAAGAGCAGAGGTTTTAAAGACTAATATTTTACCAAAATTAACTTATTGCTGCCCTCCCTTTGCAGTTTCCACAGGGCTGGTTTAAAGAGATTGAGGCTTTATTTACCAGTTTCTTATGGAAAGATAAGAAACCAAAAATAAACCGTAAAAAACTCTCCAAACTGAGATCCCAAGGTGGGCTAGGTGTTCCAGATGTCTTTTTTTATTATTTGTCTTATAATGCGAGATTTCCACTGTCACACCTCAGTGAGCATGTTTTCATGTCTTTACCTTTTTTCTCCTTTTTCTTTTATCTCTTTTACCTCTATCTTATTTCGACTTGCTATCCTTTTAGCCTTTGTTTTACTTATAATCTTTTCTTATTTTACCTCTTAGGTCCTTAATGGATTTTAATGTTTTTTTTTTTTCAATTATTATTTCATTTTATCATTTATATTACCATTATTATTATTTTATTATGATTGTATTATCATTATTAATGCTGCCCCCCTTTTCTATTTCATTTCTTCTTCTTACCTATTTTATGTTTTTACCTGACCCAATGGCCTAATATGATAGGCTTCGGAGGCCCACCTACCCATTACTGAATATCCTGGGCTAACTTGATTCCATGATATTTTGCTTTGGTTATCTTGATTTAATTCTATACAATGCATCACAAATCAAGTTTTTTATTTCTTGTACTTGTCACTATAACTCCAAACACTGAACTACCTGTTATTGTTCCAGCCATAGCAGAGTTTTCGAGCTGCCTTACCTGAGTGCAGCAGAAGTGTTAGGTCACAGCCTGAGTTGTGCGGCAGAATACAGAGGAGTTCTTGACCCTGGCAGCTCTAAGTCAATGTGAGCTCCATATGACAACAGCAGCTCCAGACACTCTCTGTGACCTGAGGGAACAACAACACAACATCAGAATCTGTGCTTCCTCTCAGTACGGCTTCACTGACTCACACAAACTCACCCTTTTCACCAACCCTTTGTTGCTGCTCAAGTATATGTGGTCATTATGTTAGCCACATTTTCTGAAGCCACATACTTGGCTTATATTTCAAATAAAGATGTGCTTTTTCTGACTGTGCACACAGGGTCTTTTGACCAACTCTTCTAGGACAAAACCTTGGGTTTAAAAATCCCAAAATCAAAATCAAATCAGGAGATTTCACTCATTTCAAATATGTCATGTAGCTTCTTCATATTAAGCTCATGAGCACAAAAACAGTAAGTCCTAAAAATAAATGAAAAAAGAAAGAGACAAGCTTTTCTTACATTCTCAGCATTGTCCAGCTGGACTTTGGCACAAGCATAATGGCCACCAAGTCAGGCTTCATGGAGAGGTGAGGTTCTGTCCATTATGAGTGTGTCCACAAGGAAGCCCTGCAGAGGAGGTGAGAGGGTGTTATGTCCTCAGTTTGAGTGTGCTGTAATATTTTCTAAACAGATCTTATCATTATCATTATGATGCTGGATGTTTACCTGAGCGATAAGGCTTCTTAGGTGTCGCAGTCTACCTTCATGGAGAAGAGTTCTGTCTGAGAAACCAGAGAGTAAGATTAGGAGGGTCTCCAGCTTCAGAAAAACCCACAGATAATGCTCAAGGACATGTGCACCCTGAGAAAGTCTACAACAGCAAAAAGTGCAAAGATCGAGCCAGTAACAGGTCCATAGTGAATCCTCAGCCTCTGTAGCCGTCTGTCCAGGGGGAGCACCTCCTCTCCAGCCACTTAGTCATACACTTAAAAAGGGACACACTCATAAAAGAGACACAAAAGAAATCACCTTAATTTACCTGCTTACTACATGTTTGGGTCTGCATTTGTGTTCGACATGTTTCCAATTGAACTCGCAGGCCTGTACAATCAGGACAGAACGAGACAAATTTCATCATAAAATGTATGGCAGAAGGATCAAATGGATATAGATATACTGACTATCTGAAAACACATAATTCAGTCGGCTCTTATGAACTGCCTGTTCATGGGAGGATACCCGCACCTGTTAAGTGTAACACATGAAAGCATTATGGTGGAGCACAGTGTGAATGTGTGGCACTCCCACTATGTGCAGTAAGCCCAGTGCTGTCTGAGAGGATAGGGCTTTGGTGTTGATTGACCCACCTTTTCAGGCCTTTCTGCAACATTTCTCGACGTGTAGAGGTTTCTCACTCTAATCTGGATGGAGGTGTGGAGGGGAATGACTTGCACTGTTGGCTCACACAGGGTCATGAAGTCATCAGGGAGCACCTCAGGAATGCCTGTCTTCAACCTTAGAAAGGAAACATCTTCCAAAATGTGAGCACCTGTCGCAGTGTTCCTCTGTCTAACAAAAAAAACCCCAACATATTTACCCTCTGTTGACGGGCTGCAGTATAGGTCATAAATCCTGCCTCCGCCAGCAAAGCTTATGGAGCTGTGGACAAACTTTAGAAATTTATTACACAGAACATAATTTTTTCTCCCCCCTACTTGTGATGTTGACATGTAGTTATTGTAAGACTGGTTTGTGCTCAAGTCCTCTTTTTTCTGTGAAGCTCTGTTTTTAAAAGTTATTAGGGGGTTCATGTTTTCTATGATTGACACCTGATACAGCCTATGGGCGTTCAGGGATTGCGTAGCTCTCCTGGGGGATACGCTGTTTGAGTCAAGCGTCATCACAGCGACTCTCTGCGACTGCGCGGCCGAATGCGCGCATTGCTACTGCGCAACACTGGTTTCAGGAAATGAAGAAAAATCCCAGAAATACTGAGAGCTATTTGGCTTCAAATCCGTATACAGGCGGTAGGCGGAACCAAGTTGTCCATAGTATATACAGTCTATGATCAGTCCTCTTTTTTCTACTATCCAACACAAACCCCTGAGCTACAGAAACACATTTGAAAATTGAAAAAAAAGTTCATCGATTTTAATGTGGATTCACCACACATGTCCTCAGCGTGGCTCAGATTTGGGACGGACAGGACTGAGGATATTGTCTCCAGACTACACAGATGCTGGAGAACAATGGAAGACGTCAGGAATAAAACATTCAAGGTTTTCTTGAAACACATATGCATAAATTTATACATGATGTTATGTTTATTTTCCACCACTGACCTCTGGGTGACACTTCTTTGGTGACTCGCTAAAAGTTTTGACAAGTTAAAGATAAAAATAGGTCAAATTTTAGAGACAGAGTACCGTAAAATACAGGGGGCTAATGTTGCCCTCTACTGGTCAAAAGTCATACAGCCAAAGGAAACCAGAGCTGAAATCGGAGGTGCTGAAACTGCATCTACATCTACACTCACCGGCCACTTTATTAGGTACACCTGTCCAACTGCTCGTTAACACTTAATTTCTAATCAGCCAATCACATGGCGGCAACTTAGTGCATTTAGGCATGTAGACATGGTCAAGACAATCTCCTGCAGTTCAAACCGAGCATCAGTATGGGGAAGAAAGGTGATTTGAGTGACTTTGAACGTGGCATGGTTGTTGGTGCCAGAAGGGCTGGTCTGAGTATTTCAGAAACTGCTGATCTACTGGGATTTTCACGCACAACCATCTCTAGGGTTTACAGAGAATGGTCCGAAAAAGAAAAAATATCCAGTGAGCGGCAGTTCTGTGGGCGGAAATGCCTTGTTGATGCCAGAGGTCAGAGGAGAATGGCCAGACTGGTTCGAGCTGATAGAAAGGCAACAGTGACTCAAATAACCACCCGTTACAACCAAGGTAGGCAGAAGAGCATCTCTGAACGCACAGTACGTCGAACTTTGAGGCAGATGGGCTACAGCAGCAGAAGACCACGCCGGGTGCCACTCCTTTCAGCTAAGAACAGGAAACTGAGGCTACAATTTGCACAAGCTCATCGAAATTGGACAATAGAAGATTGGAAAAACGTTGCCTGGTCTGACGAGTCTCGATTTCTGCTGCGACATTCGGATGGTAGGGTCAGAATTTGGCGTCAACAACATGAAAGCATGGATCCATCCTGCCTTGTATCAACGGTTCAGGCTGGTGGTGGTGGTGTCATGGTGTGGGGAATATTTTCTTGGCACTCTTTGGGCCCCTTGGTACCAATTGAGCATCGTTGCAACCCCACAGCCTACCTGAGTATTGTTGCTGACCATGTCCATCCCTTTATGACCACAATGTACCCAACTTCTGATGGCTACTTTCAGCAGGATAATGCGCCATGTCATAAAGCTGGAATCATCTCAGACTGGTTTCTTGAACATGACAATGAGTTCACTGTACTCAAATGGCCTCCACAGTCACCAGATCTCAATCCAATAGAGCATCTTTGGGATGTGGTGGAACGGGAGATTCGCATCATGGATGTGCAGCCGACAAATCTGCGGCAACTGTGTGATGCCATCATGTCAGTATGGACCAAGCTCTCTGAGGAATGCTTCCAGCACCTTGTTGAATCTATGCCACGAAGAATTGAGGCAGTTCTGAAGGCAAAATGGGGTCCAACCCGTTACTAGCATGGTGTACCTAATAAAGTGGCCGGTGAGTGTACATCTTGGGAAATAAAGATATTTTGGCCTAGAATTAAAATAAGGTCAAGGAGAGTATAAGTACCAAAAAAATCTACACATTAAGTTAACAACAGAAGTTTGCATAAATACTGAACTATAATCAAGTCAACAAGTATTAAACAATACTTACAAAAAAGGAAGAGATGATGGATGTCATTCAGTGTAACAATGATAAAGTAATCATGTTTTGATATGTACCTTTTACAGAGGCACTTGAAAACCTTTTGGCCCCCCCACCTCCTGTCCTTTCTTTTCTCACCCATCCCTCTTCTCTCTGGTCCTTCTTTTTCTCTCTCTGTAGGGAAAAATGAAAACAAGAAATTTTCAAGTGAACAATACACACAAAAAATGAAGAAATGATGGATGTCATTCAGTGTAACAATGATAAAGTAAACATTTTGATATGTACCTTTTACCGAGGCACTTGAGAACCTTCTGGCCCTCCCAACTCCTCTCCTTTCTTTTCTGTCTGCAAAAAAAATAAAATTGAGGAAAGTGTAAGTACCAAATAAAAAAAAAAACGGTGGACGGTGGCAGACCCTGCACAGTGGTATTTTCGTATGGTGGAGCCCGGTGCACAGCCAGTTTGGTATTTTCATGGACTGAGGCGCACCGAGGTCCACCAAGCTGGGCGTGGTGGCAAGGCAGGGGCAGGGGCAGCTGGCGCAGTGACATTTTCGTGCTCGCCGCCAGCGTGTAAAGTGCGCTGAAAGCTTGCCAATTCAAACCTGGACAGCTTTCAGTGCAGGCAGAGCACAGCTGGTCTAGTGGTATTTTGGTAGACCAGCGGTGTATTACGCATACGTCACAGATGCCTCACTGGCAGGTTTCCACAGTGTCAGGCACATTTCAGTGCATTAAATAATCAACAACAACTAATAATCTGAGTCAGCACATACATTTAGATCTATATTGATATATTCTGATCTATATCTGATCTGATGAGCACGTTTGGCATGCGTTTGGACACTCAACCTGACCGAATCAACACAGCTGAATCCGCATTAAATAAGATTAAATATCTAGTAAATAGACACACATGATGAAGTTAACAAGATATGTAATTCGTCTCCCTCCTTTTCTTTCTTCCTCTTCCTCTTATTTCTTGCGCAGAACGACCTGAACATGTCTCCGTGTCCTCTCCCCGTCCTGCTGTAGCTGCGGCGGCTGAACAGATGATTTGTTTCGGTGATCAGATGAGTTATTTACTTTAAGCCGACACAACATCGATGAAAGAAAGAGCCAGGCCACGGAGCGTGATGCGTCATTACGCACAGATGGTTCCAATTTTAATGCCATTTTTGGAGTTTTTGTTGTGATCTGTGCGCACAACCCACTTTTGTTACGTGAGGTTTAAATATGTGCAACTTTATGTGAGTGTCTTTATTTGTGGAAAAGGGTGTCTGTCTTACCAGAGGGTCCAACATTACACACACCAAATCCATCTGTGCTTATGTGAGACAGTGTGAAGGACGCCCTCTGCAGTGCTTACAGCGACACTTGTTGAGGAGCTGCCTTCTGTCGCCATTGTGTGATCTCTCTAACCACTTCACTAAAATAGTAACACGCCTCGCTGGTGGCAGATTTAAAGGCGAGGAGAGGAGCTGATGTTATTGGTCAATACAGGTCTCGGCTGTGTTAAATCCACTCCATGCCCTCTCTCCTCCCTCGCAAAGACTTACGCTGCTGGGAGGAGCTGAGTTAGGGAGGGGGGATACTTACGCCGGGCTATGCCGCTAACCAAAATACCAAATTCTGCTTGGGCACGCCTTGTTGGCGCGGCGGACCTGACTTACCCAGCGTCGCCGCCGAGGCACGAAAATAGAGCCCCTAGTGCTGATTTAAGTTTTTGGTTTAAATGATCAACAACAAAATCACAAGCAGAGGGTAAAACAGCCTTTGGAGCATCAGTTAAAATCCCACTAAAATTAGCAGCCACTTCAGAAGTAAGATAGTGTTTACAGACAGTACGCTCTGGGGCCCCCTGCTGGATAAAATCCATTACGTTAAAAAACACACAGTGATGGTCAGACAAGCCCACATCCACACCAGAGGAAACAGTGGCTGATAACCCAAAGGTTATTAAAAGATCCAATATATTTCCTCTGTTGTGGGTGGAGCTCGATACATGCTGCTTAAAATCCATAAAATTAATAAGATTTATTAAAAATTCAGAGCTAAGAGAGTCAGATGGATTACCAACATGAATATTAAAATCCCCTACAATAATGATTTTGTTGTACTTTGAATAAATGATTGATAATAGTTCTGAAAATTCACTGATAAAAGCCGAGCATTTTTTGGGTGACTTGTAAAAATTAAATAAAATATAGTATATAATGTTGAGGTAGGTTTGTACAGAGAAAATATAGATTTTGAAAAATATATTAGAAATAGCATTCATTTAGTATGAAATTACACTTTGATACACTTTGTGATACTTAACACACTGGGCTCTATTTTCGTGCCTCGCTGGCGGCGTGGCGCAGGCACGGCGTAAGTCAGGTCTGTCGCGCCAACAAAGCACGCTTTGGTACTGTATTTTGGTGAGCAGCGCAGCCTGTCATGAGTATCCCCCCTCCCTAACTCAGCTCCTCCCAGCGGTGTAAGTCGTAGAGGGAGGAGAGAAGGCGTGGAGTGGGTTTAACACAGCCAAGACCTGTTTTCGCCAATCATATCAGCTCCTCTCCTTACCTTTAAATCTGCCACCGGCGAGGCGTATTACAATTTTCGTGCAGTAGTCGGGGAGATCAAGAGATGGCTGAAGACAGCAATGCCGCATGATGGCGCCTCAACTAGTGTCGCTGTAAGCGCTGCAGAGGGCGTCCTGCACACTTTCTCAAATAAGCCCAGTAAAAAGGTGTAAGATTTTATCCCATCTCCAATCTTTAAGTTGTGATATTGCCATGATTCAAGAAACACACCTCACGAAGCAGGAGTCTCTAAAACTGAAACAAAGATGGGTGGGCCAAGTTTTTTAGGCCCCAGGCATAGGAGCTGCCAGAGGTGTTAGTATATTAATAGCTAAAAGAATCTCTTTTACAACGTCTGCAATAAGAATGGATGAAGATGGGCACTATCTGGTACTGTCAGGTACCCTCCAGAATGAGAAATGCACCTTTGGTTAACATCTATGCACCCAATTCAGGTCAGAACCTCTTTCTCTCCCCTCTTAATAGTTTACTAGCCCAATTCGCAGATACTCCCTTACTGATAGGTGGTGACTTCAATCTGGTCAACGAAGCCGGCATTGATCGCTCAAGCCGTCCCCTACCATCAGATAAAGCATCATCGTCAGCTTTCAGTGAGATGAGGAGTTCACTGGCACTGACTGATGTGTGTCAATCCACAAGAACGGAGCTATACATATTATTCAAACGCTCACAACTCTTACTCCAGAATTGACTATCTCCTCATTTCATCAAATCACACCATGAATGTCATTGACACAACAATCCATAGCATACTTATCTCAGACCACGCACCCATATCAATGACCTTCAGTCCTGTATTTGACACCCAGCACAGGACAAAGCAATGGAGATTTAATAACTCTTTATTGCGGGATGCAAAATTTGTCTCCCTCATAACACAAAGAACCAATGATTTCTTTTGAATAAATATGAACTCATTTGCATCTATCCAAATTGTCTGGGAAGCCTTCAAAGCAACGTGTAGAGGCTGGATAATCGCCTACTCGACTGCCAATCGTAGGCTAAGAGATGAAAAGAAAAACAACTTATTGGCAAAAATTAAAACTTTAGAGTCTCAACACATAGTTGACACAACAAATCTTGTCCTTAAGAAGGACCTCCTCTTGGCCAGGGCAGTCAATACTCCATGAGGAGACCGCTTTTGCTCTATACTGCCTGCGTAGGAGACATTTTGAAAGTGGCGACAAAGCAGGTAAAATGCTCACCTATCAGCTCAAGCTGCAGGAGAACAAACAATCAATTCCAGCAATAAGGGATAGTAGTGGGAACATCATTACAGACCCAACTTTAATAAGCTCTGCATTTAAAGAGTATTACTCCAAATTATATCAGGCTGAATGTCAATCTCAGGAGCACAAGGTGGCAGAATTCCTTATGAACACGCCCCTCCCTAAATTGTGTGCACCGGACAGAGATGATCTGGAGGCACCAGTGTGGGAAGCAGAGATCCTAACGGCAATCAAAAAGCTTGCCAATGGCAAATCCCCTGGGGGAGATGGATACTCAGTTCCAGAGCATCTTGTCTCCTGTCCTAACTCAATTATATAATAACATTATTGAAAATACGTCAATGCCAGCGACAATGCGCACAGCCACAATTGCACTTCTTCCTAGAGCTGGAAAAGATCATCTAGACATGGGAAACTTTCGCCCCTTAAGTCTGTTAAATAATGACTACAAACTATTCGCCGAAGTTCTGGCTCTCCGTATAGAGAAAGTCATTACCTCCGTGGTTCATATAGACCAGGTAGGATTTATACCAGGCAGACTTTCAGCCAACAACATGAGAAGATTGCTTCAAGTCATGTTAAAAGCTAGCTCTCTCCAATCTCCAGCGGTAGCAATATCGTTGGATGCGGAAAAAGCTTTCGATAGACTAGAATGGCCCTACTTGTTCCCGATACTCTCTAGATATGGTTTCGGACCATCGGCTATGCGGTGGATTAAGGCCCTGTACAATAACCTGGTTGCTGCAGTCAAGGTTAATGGTATGATCTCTAAGACATTTCATCTTCACCGTGGCACTAGACAGGGCTGCCCCCTAAGCCATTTAATATTTGTCCTGGCTCTGGAACCACTAGCATGTGCCATTTGTTAGCATGCCAACATAACCGGTATAAAGATAGGTGGCCATGATTTTAAGTTAAATATGTATGCAGATGACATCTTACTGACCATATCAAACCCAGTTCATTCAGTACCAGAAGTTCTGGAATTAATTAAATCGTTTGGCTTGTTTTCAGGATATCAAATCAACTGGACCAACAGTGAAGCAATTTGAACTCTAAAACCCTCTCAGCGGACCTAAAAACCACCCCCTTTATGTGGAGACCAGAAGGAATGAGGTACCTAGGAATAACCATCAGATCCCCAGTCTCTAAAATTTTTGATCTTAATGGTCCTCCCCTTCTAAAAACGATCCGTGAAGACATCAAAAGATGGACAATTCTCCCACTGTCACTATGGGGAAGAGCAGAGGTTTTAAAGACTAATATTTTACCAAAATTAACTTATTGCTGCCCTCCCTTTGCAGTTTCCACAGGGCTGGTTTAAAGAGATTGAGGCTTTATTTACCAGTTTCTTATGGAAAGATAAGAAACCAAAAATAAACCGTAAAAAACTCTCCAAACTGAGATCCCAAGGTGGGCTAGGTGTTCCAGATGTCTTTTTTTATTATTTGTCTTATAATGCGAGATTTCCACTGTCACACCTCAGTGAGCATGTTTTCATGTCTTTACCTTTTTTCTCCTTTTTCTTTTATCTCTTTTACCTCTATCTTATTTCGACTTGCTATCCTTTTAGCCTTTGTTTTACTTATAATCTTTTCTTATTTTACCTCTTAGGTCCTTAATGGATTTTAATGTTTTTTTTTTTTCAATTATTATTTCATTTTATCATTTATATTACCATTATTATTATTTTATTATGATTGTATTATCATTATTAATGCTGCCCCCCTTTTCTATTTCATTTCTTCTTCTTACCTATTTTATGTTTTTACCTGACCCAATGGCCTAATATGATAGGCTTCGGAGGCCCACCTACCCATTACTGAATATCCTGGGCTAACTTGATTCCATGATATTTTGCTTTGGTTATCTTGATTTAATTCTATACAATGCATCACAAATCAAGTTTTTTATTTCTTGTACTTGTCACTATAACTCCAAACACTGAACTACCTGTTATTGTTCCAGCCATAGCAGAGTTTTCGAGCTGCCTTACCTGAGTGCAGCAGAAGTGTTAGGTCACAGCCTGAGTTGTGCGGCAGAATACAGAGGAGTTCTTGACCCTGGCAGCTCTAAGTCAATGTGAGCTCCATATGACAACAGCAGCTCCAGACACTCTCTGTGACCTGAGGGAACAACAACACAACATCAGAATCTGTGCTTCCTCTCAGTACGGCTTCACTGACTCACACAAACTCACCCTTTTCACCAACCCTTTGTTGCTGCTCAAGTATATGTGGTCATTATGTTAGCCACATTTTCTGAAGCCACATACTTGGCTTATATTTCAAATAAAGATGTGCTTTTTCTGACTGTGCACACAGGGTCTTTTGACCAACTCTTCTAGGACAAAACCTTGGGTTTAAAAATCCCAAAATCAAAATCAAATCAGGAGATTTCACTCATTTCAAATATGTCATGTAGCTTCTTCATATTAAGCTCATGAGCACAAAAACAGTAAGTCCTAAAAATAAATGAAAAAAGAAAGAGACAAGCTTTTCTTACATTCTCAGCATTGTCCAGCTGGACTTTGGCACAAGCATAATGGCCACCAAGTCGGCTTCATGGAGAGGTGAGGTTCTGTCCATTATGAGTGTGTCCACAAGGAAGCCCTGCAGAGGAGGTGAGAGGGTGTTATGTCCTCAGTTTGAGTGTGCTGTAATATTTTCTAAACAGATCTTATCATTATCATTATGATGCTGGATGTTTACCTGAGCGATAAGGCTTCTTAGGTGTCGCAGTCTACCTTCATGGAGAAGAGTTCTGTCTGAGAAACCAGAGAGTAAGATTAGGAGGGTCTCCAGCTTCAGAAAAACCCACAGATAATGCTCAAGGACATGTGCACCCTGAGAAAGTCTACAACAGCAAAAAGTGCAAAGATCGAGCCAGTAACAGGTCCATAGTGAATCCTCAGCCTCTGTAGCCGTCTGTCCAGGGGGAGCACCTCCTCTCCAGCCACTTAGTCATACACTTAAAAAGGGACACACTCATAAAAGAGACACAAAAGAAATCACCTTAATTTACCTGCTTACTACATGTTTGGGTCTGCATTTGTGTTCGACATGTTTCCAATTGAACTCGCAGGCCTGTACAATCAGGACAGAACGAGACAAATTTCATCATAAAATGTATGGCAGAAGGATCAAATGGATATAGATATACTGACTATCTGAAAACACATAATTCAGTCGGCTCTTATGAACTGCCTGTTCATGGGAGGATACCCGCACCTGTTAAGTGTAACACATGAAAGCATTATGGTGGAGCACAGTGTGAATGTGTGGCACTCCCACTATGTGCAGTAAGCCCAGTGCTGTCTGAGAGGATAGGGCTTTGGTGTTGATTGACCCACCTTTTCAGGCCTTTCTGCAACATTTCTCGACGTGTAGAGGTTTCTCACTCTAATCTGGATGGAGGTGTGGAGGGGAATGACTTGCACTGTTGGCTCACACAGGGTCATGAAGTCATCAGGGAGCACCTCAGGAATGCCTGTCTTCAACCTTAGAAAGGAAACATCTTCCAAAATGTGAGCACCTGTCGCAGTGTTCCTCTGTCTAACAAAAAAAACCCCAACATATTTACCCTCTGTTGACGGGCTGCAGTATAGGTCATAAATCCTGCCTCCGCCAGCAAAGCTTATGGAGCTGTGGACAAACTTTAGAAATTTATTACACAGAACATAATTTTTTCTCCCCCCTACTTGTGATGTTGACATGTAGTTATTGTAAGACTGGTTTGTGCTCAAGTCCTCTTTTTTCTGTGAAGCTCTGTTTTTAAAAGTTATTAGGGGGTTCATGTTTTCTATGATTGACACCTGATACAGCCTATGGGCGTTCAGGGATTGCGTAGCTCTCCTGGGGGATACGCTGTTTGAGTCAAGCGTCATCACAGCGACTCTCTGCGACTGCGCGGCCGAATGCGCGCATTGCTACTGCGCAACACTGGTTTCAGGAAATGAAGAAAAATCCCAGAAATACTGAGAGCTATTTGGCTTCAAATCCGTATACAGGCGGTAGGCGGAACCAAGTTGTCCATAGTATATACAGTCTATGATCAGTCCTCTTTTTTCTACTATCCAACACAAACCCCTGAGCTACAGAAACACATTTGAAAATTGAAAAAAAAGTTCATCGATTTTAATGTGGATTCACCACACATGTCCTCAGCGTGGCTCAGATTTGGGACGGACAGGACTGAGGATATTGTCTCCAGACTACACAGATGCTGGAGAACAATGGAAGACGTCAGGAATAAAACATTCAAGGTTTTCTTGAAACACATATGCATAAATTTATACATGATGTTATGTTTATTTTCCACCACTGACCTCTGGGTGACACTTCTTTGGTGACTCGCTAAAAGTTTTGACAAGTTAAAGATAAAAATAGGTCAAATTTTAGAGACAGAGTACCGTAAAATACAGGGGGCTAATGTTGCCCTCTACTGGTCAAAAGTCATACAGCCAAAGGAAACCAGAGCTGAAATCGGAGGTGCTGAAACTGCATCTACATCTACACTCACCGGCCACTTTATTAGGTACACCTGTCCAACTGCTCGTTAACACTTAATTTCTAATCAGCCAATCACATGGCGGCAACTTAGTGCATTTAGGCATGTAGACATGGTCAAGACAATCTCCTGCAGTTCAAACCGAGCATCAGTATGGGGAAGAAAGGTGATTTGAGTGACTTTGAACGTGGCATGGTTGTTGGTGCCAGAAGGGCTGGTCTGAGTATTTCAGAAACTGCTGATCTACTGGGATTTTCACGCACAACCATCTCTAGGGTTTACAGAGAATGGTCCGAAAAAGAAAAAATATCCAGTGAGCGGCAGTTCTGTGGGCGGAAATGCCTTGTTGATGCCAGAGGTCAGAGGAGAATGGCCAGACTGGTTCGAAGCTGATAGAAAGGCAACAGTGACTCAAATAACCACCCGTTACAACCAAGGTAGGCAGAAGAGCATCTCTGAACGCACAGTATGTCGAACTTTGAGGCAGATGGGCTACAGCAGCAGAAGACCACGCCGGGTGCCACTCCTTTCAGCTAAGAACAGGAAACTGAGGCTACAATTTGCACAAGCTCATCGAAATTGGACAATAGAAGATTGGAAAAACGTTGCCTGGTCTGACGAGTCTCGATTTCTGCTGCGACATTCGGATGGTAGGGTCAGAATTTGGCGTCAACAACATGAAAGCATGGATCCATCCTGCCTTGTATCAACGGTTCAGGCTGGTGGTGGTGGTGTCATGGTGTGGGGAATATTTTCTTGGCACTCTTTGGGCCCCTTGGTACCAATTGAGCATCGTTGCAACCCCACAGCCTACCTGAGTATTGTTGCTGACCATGTCCATCCCTTTATGACCACAATGTACCCAACTTCTGATGGCTACTTTCAGCAGGATAATGCGCCATGTCATAAAGCTGGAATCATCTCAGACTGGTTTCTTGAACATGACAATGAGTTCACTGTACTCAAATGGCCTCCACAGTCACCAGATCTCAATCCAATAGAGCATCTTTGGGATGTGGTGGAACGGGAGATTCGCATCATGGATGTGCAGCCGACAAATCTGCGGCAACTGTGTGATGCCATCATGTCAATATGGACCAAGCTCTCTGAGGAATGCTTCCAGCACCTTGTTGAATCTATGCCACGAAGAATTGAGGCAGTTCTGAAGGCAAAATGGGGTCCAACCCGTTACTAGCATGGTGTACCTAATAAAGTGGCCGGTGAGTGTACATCTTGGGAAATAAAGATATTTTGGCCTAGAATTAAAATAAGGTCAAGGAGAGTATAAGTACCAAAAAAATCTACACATTAAGTTAACAACAGAAGTTTGCATAAATACTGAACTATAATCAAGTCAACAAGTATTAAACAATACTTACAAAAAAGGAAGAGATGATGGATGTCATTCAGTGTAACAATGATAAAGTAATCATGTTTTGATATGTACCTTTTACAGAGGCACTTGAAAACCTTTTGGCCCCCCCACCTCCTGTCCTTTCTTTTCTCACCCATCCCTCTTCTCTCTGGTCCTTCTTTTTCTCTCTCTGTAGGGAAAAATGAAAACAAGAAATTTTCAAGTGAACAATACACACAAAAAATGAAGAAATGATGGATGTCATTCAGTGTAACAATGATAAAGTAAACATTTTGATATGTACCTTTTACCGAGGCACTTGAGAACCTTCTGGCCCTCCCAACTCCTCTCCTTTCTTTTCTGTCTGCAAAAAAAATAAAATTGAGGAAAGTGTAAGTACCAAATAAAAAAAAAAACGGTGGACGGTGGCAGACCCTGCACAGTGGTATTTTCGTATGGTGGAGCCCGGTGCACAGCCAGTTTGGTATTTTCATGGACTGAGGCGCACCGAGGTCCACCAAGCTGGGCGTGGTGGCAAGGCAGGGGCAGGGGCAGCTGGCGCAGTGACATTTTCGTGCTCGCCGCCAGCGTGTAAAGTGCGCTGAAAGCTTGCCAATTCAAACCTGGACAGCTTTCAGTGCAGGCAGAGCACAGCTGGTCTAGTGGTATTTTGGTAGACCAGCGGTGTATTACGCATACGTCACAGATGCCTCACTGGCAGGTTTCCACAGTGTCAGGCACATTTCAGTGCATTAAATAATCAACAACAACTAATAATCTGAGTCAGCACATACATTTAGATCTATATTGATATATTCTGATCTATATCTGATCTGATGAGCACGTTTGGCATGCGTTTGGACACTCAACCTGACCGAATCAACACAGCTGAATCCGCATTAAATAAGATTAAATATCTAGTAAATAGACACACATGATGAAGTTAACAAGATATGTAATTCGTCTCCCTCCTTTTCTTTCTTCCTCTTCCTCTTATTTCTTGCGCAGAACGACCTGAACATGTCTCCGTGTCCTCTCCCCGTCCTGCTGTAGCTGCGGCGGCTGAACAGATGATTTGTTTCGGTGATCAGATGAGTTATTTACTTTAAGCCGACACAACATCGATGAAAGAAAGAGCCAGGCCACGGAGCGTGATGCGTCATTACGCACAGATGGTTCCAATTTTAATGCCATTTTTGGAGTTTTTGTTGTGATCTGTGCGCACAACCCACTTTTGTTACGTGAGGTTTAAATATGTGCAACTTTATGTGAGTGTCTTTATTTGTGGAAAAGGGTGTCTGTCTTACCAGAGGGTCCAACATTACACACACCAAATCCATCTGTGCTTATGTGAGACAGTGTGAAGGACGCCCTCTGCAGTGCTTACAGCGACACTTGTTGAGGAGCTGCCTTCTGTCGCCATTGTGTGATCTCTCTAACCACTTCACTAAAATAGTAACACGCCTCGCTGGTGGCAGATTTAAAGGCGAGGAGAGGAGCTGATGTTATTGGTCAATACAGGTCTCGGCTGTGTTAAATCCACTCCATGCCCTCTCTCCTCCCTCGCAAAGACTTACGCTGCTGGGAGGAGCTGAGTTAGGGAGGGGGATACTTACGCCGGGCTATGCCGCTAACCAAAATACCAAATTCTGCTTGGGCACGCCTTGTTGGCGCGGCGGACCTGACTTACCCAGCGTCGCCGCCGAGGCACGAAAATAGAGCCCCTAGTGCTGATTTAAGTTTTTGGTTTAAATGATCAACAACAAAATCACAAGCAGAGGGTAAAACAGCCTTTGGAGCATCAGTTAAAATCCCACTAAAATTAGCAGCCACTTCAGAAGTAAGATAGTGTTTACAGACAGTACGCTCTGGGGCCCCCTGCTGGATAAAATCCATTACGTTAAAAAACACACAGTGATGGTCAGACAAGCCCACATCCACACCAGAGGAAACAGTGGCTGATAACCCAAAGGTTATTAAAAGATCCAATATATTTCCTCTGTTGTGGGTGGAGCTCGATACATGCTGCTTAAAATCCATAAAATTAATAAGATTTATTAAAAATTCAGAGCTAAGAGAGTCAGATGGATTACCAACATGAATATTAAAATCCCCTACAATAATGATTTTGTTGTACTTTGAATAAATGATTGATAATAGTTCTGAAAATTCACTGATAAAAGCCGAGCATTTTTTGGGTGACTTGTAAAAATTAAATAAAATATAGTATATAATGTTGAGGTAGGTTTGTACAGAGAAAATATAGATTTTGAAAAATATATTAGAAATAGCATTCATTTAGTATGAAATTACACTTTGATACACTTTGTGATACTTAACACACTGGGCTCTATTTTCGTGCCTCGCTGGCGGCGTGGCGCAGGCACGGCGTAAGTCAGGTCTGTCGCGCCAACAAAGCACGCTTTGGTACTGTATTTTGGTGAGCAGCGCAGCCTGTCATGAGTATCCCCCCTCCCTAACTCAGCTCCTCCCAGCGGTGTAAGTCGTAGAGGGAGGAGAGAAGGCGTGGAGTGGGTTTAACACAGCCAAGACCTGTTTTCGCCAATCATATCAGCTCCTCTCCTTACCTTTAAATCTGCCACCGGCGAGGCGTATTACAATTTTCGTGCAGTAGTCGGGGAGATCAAGAGATGGCTGAAGACAGCAATGCCGCATGATGGCGCCTCAACTAGTGTCGCTGTAAGCGCTGCAGAGGGCGTCCTGCACACTTTCTCAAATAAGCACAGAGGCATCTGGTGTGTAAGGTTGGACCCACTGGTAAGACAAACACACGTTTCACATTAAGATCACATTAAGTTGCATATATTTAAAACTCACGTGACAAAGGTGGGTTGTGCGTACAGATCACAACATAAAGTCCAATAATGGCATTAAAATCGGAACCATCTGTGCGTAAATGACACATCGCGCTCTGTGGCCTGGCTCTTTCTTTGATTGATGTTGGCATATAAAATAAATTTGGTTCATGCAACTGAATATTATTTGTATGTGGGCCTGACTCCGGATTGAATTTTCACAGGATGTAGGATGTAAAATCATCAGATATATGGGTAATTTTAAATTAAAGTTTCTTTTATTTTTTTGTTCAAATTAAATAACTCATCAAATCACTAAAAATGAATCACCTGTTCAGCCTTGCTGCCGTAGCAGCAGCAGCAGGACGGGGAGACACGTGAGAGGGTCGTGCGCACAGATCACAACATAAGTTCCAATAATGGCATTAAAATCTGAACCACCTGTGCATAATGGATGCATCGCGCTCCATGGCCTGGCTCTCTCTTTCTTTGATGTTGGCATATAAGACGGTTTCTGCTCACACAACTGAATATTAAAATGTTCGTATGTAAGCCTAACTCTGGATTGAATATTCACACAATTTTAAGGATGTGAGGACATTAGATAAACAGGTTATTTTGAATGAAAGTTTCTTTTACTTTTTTGTTGAAAATTTTGTTCTAAAAATAAATCATCTGTGCAGCCACCGCAGCATCAGGATGGGGAGAGGACACAGAGACATGTCCGAGTCGAACTGCGTGAGAACAAGGAGGAAGAGAGAAAGGGGGACAAATTAAATATCTTGTTAACTTCATCATGTGTGACTGTTTACTGGATATTTAATCTAATGCGGTTTCAGCTGTGTTGATTCGGTCAGGTTGAGTGTACAAACGCGTATATTTATATCTATAGATCTAAATGTAATTGCTGACTCAGAATATTGGCTGTTGTTGATTATTTATTGCACTTATATATGTGCCAGACATTGTGGAAACCTGCCTGTGAGGCATCGGTGACGCACTATGCGCACTATGCCACCGGTCTAACAAAATACCACTAGACCAGCTGTGCTCCACCTGCGCTGAAAGCTGACCAGGTTTGAATCAGCAAGCTTTCAGCGCACTTCACACGCCGGCGGTGAGCACGAAAATGTCACTGCACCAGCTGATTCTGTCGACACCCCCCCCTGCCGCGCCACCATGCCCAGCTTGGAGGACCTCGGTACGCCTCAGTCTACGAAAATACCAAACTGGCTGTGCGCTGGGCTCCACCAAACAAAAATACCACTGCACGGGGTTCGCTACCGTCCTCCGTGCCGTCGGCAGGCACGGAAATAAAGCCCTCTGTATTTGGCAAGTTATGTGGTGTTTTTTTGTCAAATATATGGGTGTTTTTAGTCTTAATGTGACAACATGACGACCAAAAACTGTGAGCAACTAGCATGAAAAATAACTGTAGGTTACATTTG